CCGCATTGTCATAAACACAGCAGGGGTTTTTGAGTCAAAGGTCTTGGTCCAAAACTCTGCTCTGTTCTTTGTTAGCTGTTGTACTCAGCCATATAATTTCACCACTTTGAGCCTGTTCCCTCTTCAAAATAGGGCCAAGATCACCATCTCACAGAGTTATCGTGAGGTTACACGAGGAAAGACGTTTGTAATGCTCCGGGCACAATACTGGGCACATCCTAAGTGTTCAGCAAGTTAGTCCCCTTCCTGTCTTTGTCACCTCATGTTCTAGGTTTACCCTTAGACACCTGTAACACAGTGACATTGTGAAGGGCTCTCTGACCCTTCTCTGATGGGTCCTAGAACAGTGCGCCTGGACTTCCTGTGTCTACTTTTCACATTTTCCATGTCCTCTCCCATAAACTGACACTTCTCACTGCTGCCATCACCCACTCTCCTTTCCTGTGGTAATCCCATTTGAGTTTACAGAACAGATAATAGCTTCCTAACTGCTCTACATTAACTCACTTAGTCTTCAGAAAACCTTATCAATCAGGTACTGTTATTTTCATTTTTATAGTTAAAAAGCTGAGGCACAGGAATGTGAATATGATGTGACTTCATAAGGACATGTAGCTAGTAAGTGGAGGAGTGGCTCAGACTCGGGCAATATGGTTCCAGAGGCTGTTCTCAACCACACATCACACCACCTCTGAAAACTGAGAACCACAACTAATAGACAGTGTACAAAGCAAGAGTTTATAGACTGAAGACTGGAGATGGTGTCTCTTTTATTTTCTTTCAGATCAAACTTTCAAAATGCAGCAGTGAGCTGTATGGCCAGTTGGGGTTAAGTGTCACGTTCCAAAACAGATTATTTGAAACAAGAAAAAACTACTAAATGCAGAGAGAGATTCAAGGCAAGGAGGTCTAGTGATTGTATTCATCCTCTGGAGGTTTCTTTTAGATAAAAGTATGGCTTGATAAAAAGAAGAATGGACAGATTTATCTTCCCAAATAGAATGATGTAAATAGCATGATGTAAATAGTGATTCTCAAAATTTTTTGGTCAATAGGTCTCACTGAGAATCTGATGAATACAGATTCCCTTTCTAGGAAAATATACATTTAACTTTTTTTGTATTTTTTAGAGATGGGGTCTTGTTGTGATGCCTAGGCCAGAGTAGCAGTCACACTATCATGGCTCACTGAAGCCTCGAACTCCTGGGCTCAAGTGATCCCTCTGCCTCAGCCTCCAGAGTAGCTGGGACTATAGGCAAGTACCAGGATGCCTGGCTAATTAAAAAAAGTTTTATTTTTTAAGCGACAGGGTATTGGTATGTTGGCAGGGCTGGTCTTGAACTCCTGGCCTCAAGCAATCCTCCTGTCCTGGCCTCCCAAAGTGATGTTTAGCTTTTTTATGTACAACTGTAGAGGATTTCAGGATCTGTTCTTGAATATAAAATTTAGAGAATCTTGGCCGGGCCCAGTGGCTCACACCTGTAATCCTAGCACTTTGGGAAGGTGAGGCAGGTGGATTACCTGAGATCAGGAGTTCGAGAACAGCCTGGCCAACATGGTGAAACCCTGTCTCTACTAAAAATACAAAAGTCAGCCAGGCATGGTGGCACACACCTGTAATCCCAGCTACTTGGGAGGCTGAGGCAGGAGAATTGGATGAACCTGGGAGACAGAGGCTGCAGTGAGCCAAGATCGTGCCATTGCACTCCAGCCTGGCCAACAGAGCAAGACTCTGTCTCACAAAAAAAAAAAAAAAAAAAAAAAAAAGAAAAAAAAAATTTAGAGATTCTTTATAGACAAGCAGTGGCAGTGGAAAATTAAAGCTAGCACTTTAAGTCCTGCCTCTTCTACTTACAAGCTGTGTGATTTTAGGCAAGCCACTATCCTCTAAGCCCCTTGGGCAAAAATGGAATAATCATCTCTGCCCTGCTTCCCTCACAGCAATAAACTATTACGATGAGTGTGAAAGGTGTGGTCAATTACAAAGTGCTATCAGAATGTTGTCAGGACACTTAGGTTTAGAGAGGTTACTTACCTTAAGGTCACACAGCTACCAACTGGCAGAAGAGGGGTTTAACTTGGAAGACACTGAAGTCTCTGGAATGTGTGCGTATGTGGCTGTGGTTATATGTATGTGAAGATCTCTCTTCCTCGAAGGATTTTAAAAAGGATCAAAAGAGAAAATGCATGTGAAAGAGTTACACAGGCTATCATGTGCAATGCCTGTATGAGTTACTCCTGGACTGAACTAAAGACTCCATGTCCTATCCACATGGCCCAGGACTGGATGGTTGAGGGACTGAGAAGGATGGGTGGAAATGTGTCAATCTGTAATGCTGCTGTGGAGAGAATTAAGACCCTCCCCCACATCCAAATGAAAGTTCCATACTTGGGGGGAATTTGTCAGAGCTCTCCAACCTCTTAAAAACCCATTCCACTAACCAGCACACTTAGATGTTAGTATGTGACTAATACGTTTCTAATGTCAGCCACCAGTAAAATCTATAAAACCTAAATCTTACTCTCTTATGTTAAAGATAGATTCCATAAAAGATGCTCTCATTCAACTTTGATTCTGGATGCTTCCAATCCAGAGATGAACACTTGTGTGTGTTAAAAAACCAGCAGTGCCAGAGAGTGGCAACATCCCAAACCAGAAGCCTCCAAAAAAACCCCTGTACCTTCTTAAAGGCAATGAGAAACTGGCAACACTTCCTTAAACTTTCAAACTAATGCTCCAAACGCACAGCCAGCAGTCCAAGAACACAAGGGAGTAAACTGGAATGCGGGATGGCAGAGTCCTGGAGCTTCACTGTAAACAGCGGGGTGTAAGAATGCCGAGCAAATATTCAAATTGACTCACTTACTGAGTCTGGAGGCTGGGATGTAATGCCCAAGGAAGCCTAATGGTAGGAGGAAGAACTGCAGAGGACACTGCTATTTCTGTGGTGATAGCAAGTCATTTTAATGCTGTGCTTGTATTAAAAGGTATAAAATTGCTTTGGCCTTCTGTCTGAAGCTTAGTAGACCATCATGTCTTGAGTGAACACTGACAATTAGCTGAGGCCTTTCCCAGTTATGAGGTCTAGAGCATAGAAAATCATGGGGCTGAGCAGGCCAGACTGAGAAGAACTTTCCAAGGCAAGCTGAACAAGGGTGTGTCAACTTCACACACATTCAAGTAGCATTTAATAACTTTTATCAAATTGGCTTTAAATTCTATATTGTAATACAGAAGTGAGGGTGAGTGGGAGAGAACAATATAATGAAGTCAAACCCAAGTCAGATGGAACAGGTTAAACATGAAGGTGAATTCAGAGTACTTTCCCTCAAACTCCACTCATACCCCTGCTGCTGTTCCTGAGTATGACCTGAGTTCAGGGCTGCAGCTTCTTCACAGCAGCTACAGAACAAGGTCTACCTAGAAAAAAAAAAAAAGAGGTCGTGCCCTAGTGCATCTGTAGCACTGGAAATGACTATCTTATGGAGCCATTAGATTAGGAAGATAGGCGTAGAGCTGGAGAGAAGTGTTCAGTTTGAACTTCCCTGAACACTCCCCCTGAAGGAAGACCCACAGTGGGTCTCCTTTCCTTTCAGCCTTCCTATAAAGACCCCTGGGGCCACAGAAGGCCCAAATCTAGGCAGATGTAGTACTACTCTGTGCTAGACAGTAATCTGGAGAGGTCCCTGGTTGGAGCATCAGAGAAGACACAAGGTATAATTTTCCTGGCCAACATCTGCTTCTGGGCAGAAAGAAAATGAGCAGGCATATCTCCAGCTCTGATTAGAATCTTCTGAGAACCCCTTGGTTGAGGCTGGGGGAACAAACCTGGCCCTTGAACTCTTTTTCAGACAAGTACAAAATGTCAAAATCAGGATCCCAACCCCTAGGATAAAAACCACAGGTGACACAAAAGCAGATACGGAGAAATATTTCAAGATTAAAAATAAATCATTGGCTGTGAAGGTATAAACAGTGTTCCCATGAACTAAACCCCAAACCCCAAATCTGTAGATTAAGAAAAATCCACACTTACTAAATCAAATCAAAAATTATATGCAGGTTTCAGGCAACACATGTGTTTGAGTTGAGACCCCAAGTTTGCTCTCTTCAACATATGAGGTCTGATTTTTCAGCCATAGAATGAGATCTCTTTCACTTGAGTCCAATATCAAATACTAAAACGTTAAAAGAATAAAATAGTAGAGCAAGTTCCTTATTACAGGAGAGTCCATGGGGCTGCTGATCAGATTTTGTTGATAGACAAGGTGCTTCAACACCAAGTGACGAGGTCCAAATGTGTGAGGGAGTAGAGGGAGAGAAAGCAAAAGAGAATTGTGTTCAGTTTATGCTGATGGACTAGCAGCTTGGGAGCTGGTATCTGTGAGGTTCTAACTGCCCAAATGCAAACCTAACAGTAGCCTCCTGCCACTGGGCCAGACACTGAAGTTTTGGTACTGGTCCTCTCTGCACATGATGTCAACATTCACATTGAGAACATTTTCCCTATGCTGCAACGGAACAGCAAATACCTCCCAGGTGGAACCTGGACACCCAAGGCAGCAGCAGTAATAAATATCTTGCATATATGTTGAATTCAGTCCTCAAACAAAACCTTACATCTTAGTAAAGCCATCAGAAAGTACTAACAAAAATGGTATACTTTTTTTCCTACAACAATGTTTAATCTCCATGCCGAGAATGTCCCATTTGACTTTTTTCCCTCTGCCCCTTAAAATTAGGTGACAAAGTGGAAATTTAGTCATGAAAATAAAAAGACATATATCAAATATACAGCATTCTGGTGTCACAGAACAGACAGAACTGTTCTAGACACTGTGGGGAAAAGATGGGCACTGAAGAAGTAAAAATTCTATTTAGTGATCACTCACACTTGAACAATGCATTCGTCATTGAAGGAGGGTGAAGTGCAGGGGGCAGGGGAGAGTGGCAGAGTTGTAATTCTCTGTAGTGAGGGTTGGGAATATATACTCATGGATGGGAAATCTTAAGTAGCTATGTTTATTATGACTTTTTCCAGCAATTTTGCAAGAGGCAGAAGTGTGACACTGAACTGAGTGAGACGAGCGAGTGGGTGGGTTGGCAAGGAGCCCTTCTCCTGACGCAGGCTGCCGGTTTGTCAAGGAATGGCTGGTTCCACCGCTGGGCCGTGTTTACTCTTTCGCTTCAAGGAAAAGCGTTTCTTGAGGGAACAGCTTTACCTCCAATAATGACTTATTTGGGTCCAGTTGAGTTACCTAAAATGAAGAACACATATTCAAAAGACTGAAACAAGCACTATTTTCTCTACATGGCATTCATTTTATCTATGCACATTGATTCTGAAACTATGCACTGGCATGAAGAGTCTCGCAGAATCTACTGGATCTTCAAAATAACCTGCAAGGCAGGTGTTGTTATTCTCATTTAATCAGTGAGGAAACCAGAGCTCAGGAAGATCAAATCTCGTAGTTTAGTTTGGTGAAGGTACCTCACCTCCTGCACAGCTCAGCCTGGCCAGCAGAACAGGGGACCTGAGGAAAGGTGCCGGTTAGTGACTGACTGGCATTCCTAGAGACCTCTGCTTGGTTAACCCCTAATAGAGGGAAGGGATTTTTCTGCTTGGCACAACTACAGCTAAGCCTTCAGGGCTGACCTTCCTGTTAAAACTACATTAAAAACTGTAGAATGGCCATTCCACCATGCCCAACGATGAATATCTCCCCTGGTTAGGTGAGGCAAATCATATCCTTGTTAATGGCACATTTAGTTTGAAAAAAAAAAAAAAAAGAGTCAATGTCGTAATACAACTTTGTATTTTAAGAATTTAAAAAATCACAATTTTGTAATATGAACTATTGAAAGTCAACCTAGACAAAATCTTGGCTCAATGGGATACATTAATCATATAGGGATCCTAAATTAGGTTTATGCCCTTTTAGACAAGGGGCAGAGATGGGACATGCAGATTTTCTGAATCTGTGAGTGTGAGAAGAAACAAAACTTTCCTGTTTATCAAAAGAGGTCAGGAATGTTTAAAAGTTGAGCAATATTGGTTTAGTGGAAAGGACATAGGCTTTGGAATTAGAAAGACTCTAGTTTAAATTACAGCTGCATTGGCTATCAGCTTTGTGGCTTTGGAGTTAGTATCAACCTTACAGGACTGCTGTGAGAATTAAATGAGAAAAAATATATACTTAACAAAGTGTCTTGCCCAGAACAGGTGTTCCATAATGGCTGCTGTGTGTGAGAGCAACTGTAAAGATGATGGACACACAGATAAATGAGCAGCTCCAAGTGTGTGTGATGGGAGGGCAAGCAATCTCTAGTCAGGCCTGAAGCTGCGGCTCTGCTGCTCTGGGCCTGACTGCAGCACCGGAGGCAGGCAATCTTATCTTCTACTTAACTCAAGATGCTCCTAATAAGATGGTTCTGGTGTCTTCTTTCATGGAGACGTGGGGGATACCAGGAAGGGGAGGCCCTGGGGGCCAAGGCCAAGTATCAAAGGCATGCTGGCAAGGAGAAGGGGGTGAAAACTATCTTCAGCTGTATCTAGATGAAAACCTGAGCATATTACTCAGGAGGGTCATTAAAAAGGCACATCTACCTCTGGAATCCTTTCTGCTTATAAGGAAGGATTTGCTCAGAGCAAAGCACACTACATTTGTATCTCTTGGGTTGTGGGCAGATGGACAGGCAAGGAGTGGGAAGGGCCTAGCCTGCTGTCTATCTTCCAATGCACTGAGGGGCAAGCTGCTGGCAAATGTTTACCCACTTCCCCAATTAACGTACAACACTGCACTGGCTTCTGTCAACAAACAGCTACACTGCCTCTGCTTCTCACTCGTTGGCATTTTCTGCCCAGCTGCTTCTGATATTGTTCTTAATTAACATGCCAGAGCTCTTCCAGCATCTTCTACTTTGTTATTTGTGGCTTGTAAATATAATGTTTGCTGGGAGAAACGATCATTGTAATAGTGTGCTAGGAAGCAAAAGAGGCAGGAAGGCTGAAGTATCAGGACTGAGTTGCACCATGCTGGGGTTGTCATATGCAAGGTTAGAGATTCATAAACCACATCTAGTTTTCACATGAGAAAGTTGTGTCCAGGAAAGTTAAGTAACTTTCCTCAGTCACTTTGAGTGGGAGAGCTGGAATTTGAGAAGGAAGAAACGAATTTCTCGAACGCCTACTATATCAGACAACATATCCACACAACAACTGGGCAAGGCAGCAGAGATGATCAAATTGAAGCGTAAAGTGGTTGCCACTTGTTTATAACCATATCTGTGTATTCAGCACAGTGGTTAAGAAGAGTGAAGTAAACCCAGAGTCAAATCCTAGCTTTGTCACTACCTACCAATGTGACCTTAAAGAAATTATATAACCTGAGAGACAATTTCCTCAACTGTAAAATGGGAATCATAGTTTCTCCTTTATAAGTTGTTGTAATAGTTAGATGGAATAATGTTGGTGCAGCCTCTGGTACAGCATCTAAGCCGGTATGCTTAGTAGGTTGTAGCCATAACTGACTGGGTAGGGGCCCTGATCTTTCTAACTTCGAGGCTGCAGCTCTTTCACCGAAACCTCCTGGAACCCTGATCTATGCCAGGATACCAGGCTATCTTTCTTGTTTCTTCCCCAATGCCTAGCAAGAGTGCCCCCCTTTTTCTGATCAGATAATGCCTCCATCTCTGGAGACCCCTGGCTACAGCTTCAGTGCGGCTGTGTCACCATTGGACTGCTTCGAAGCAAACATGGCTGTGCTGATTGCTCCCTCTGGTGCCCTAAAAATAAAATCAAGCATTTTTTTTTCTTTGAAGGTCATTTTAGGTAAGAATTTCAAAGTGAGCAAGGACAATCTCTATTTCCATTCTTATTTGCCTGGCTTGGACAAACCGGTTAAAGAAAACCATGGGGAATACAGGACATCATATTTCTCCTCAGCAAGATGGTGGCCACACTGTGAAACCATCCTGCAGTGCTCTGTGCCCTGTTCAAGAAGGACATGGAGCATGCCAGGAGGGACCTCTTGCTTAGGAAGGAGCCTAAAAACTATGTTTTCTGAGATACAGCTAAAGAATGGGCGATATCTCCCTGGAGAGAGGGCACTGAGAAGAGATGGTGGTGCTGCTGCTACATGGGTAGAGAGGGGGCTGTGCTAGCCCTCTTTGAATATCCAAAGGGCTTATAAGCAGAAGACAGTGCAGATGTGTTCTGTTCAGATCTGGTGAGTACAGCTAGGAGTGGTGAAATAAAATCAAAGGGAAGCAGAACCCAGCTAGTCAGAAACAACTTTTTACAGACAGATGGCAGCTGCTAATGTGGCTACTACTGCTTCTCTTATCTTTCTACCTCCTCTCTCTGTTCTGTGTTTTCTTGTTCTTCAGTCATCATCATAGCAGCAACTATCCTTTATCGAGTACCTATTATGTAGCTGGGAACCATGCTAAGTACTTTACATACTTTTAATGTAGTACCTTAACTAGTTCTCACAACAGGTCAGTGAAATAGGTATAATTATTTCCATTTTACACATGAAGATACTGTAGGTTATCTTGCCCAAGGCTGCAGACAGAATAAGGTTTCATACTCAGGTCTGAATCTAAAGCTGATGACATGAATGATTCTGACTAACATGTCAATAGGCTGTCTTGCAGAAATTGAGGGGTAGGGAGGGTGGGGTGAGTGAACTCTCCGCTGTTCCCAGAATCACTCAAATAGGGGCTTACTTGCAGATGATGATTATAATAGCTAATGTTTATTAGCATTTACTTTGTGCCAGGTATATGCCAAGCACTTTACTTTTATAAAATATAAAAGGTAGGTTATCTGAGGTAAGGAAAATTATTTTTAATTTACTTTATTTCAGTGGTTTTTGGGAGCAGGTGGTTTTTGGTTATATGGGTAAGTTCTTCGGTGATAATTTCTAAGACTTCGGTGTACCTGTCACCCAGGGACTATACATTGTACCCAATGTATAGTGTTTTATTCCTTACCACCACCCCACAACCTTGCCCGAGTCCCCAAAATCCATTATACCATTTTTATGCCTTTGTTTTGAGGAAGGGACAATTATTTTCCCCATTAAGCCAAAATGCCAGTGGAGAAATTGAGCCCTGGAGGACATAAGTAACTTGCCCAAGGTCTCAGAGCTATTAAGGGCAGAGCCAGACTGTGAATGAAGGCAGTTGAGATTTGGAACCCACTACATTATATTGTCAGAGGTATTGCTGAGAGTAGGATCCACACAGAGAAAGAAGTTGGATGAGATGATCCTGAAGTTGTTTCTAACCAAGCTTCTGGGATATAAAATCTTCACTTTAAGAATGGCAATAAGTCAAGAGTCAGGAAAGAAGTCCTGAAATGTTTATAAAATACGAATACAAAAACCCAATCTGAGCTTGTGTTGTGCCATTTACTTGGGACTTTACTGAATTATTGACTCTCTAAATCAACAAAGAAGCCCACCCTTTGGGACTCCTTGGGGGAGGAGGGTCATTCTCAGATAAGAGGTATCGCCTGACTTTGTCTATAGTTAGAAAAGGAAAGTCAACCATCTTGACATTTTCTTCACTGTATTTAGAAAACCTAAATGGATATATTTTCTCATTAGCTTAATAATTTAGCAAACTGGCTTTGTGAAACATGTTTATATAACAAAAATGGGACAGGTGTTCTTTGCTAAACAGAGCTATTCCTTTCTAGATCAATTTTCTTAGCAGATTGAAATTTCATATACTGTTTCTATGACTTCCCGGGGCTTCGGCTCCTTTTCTAAAAATCCTAACATTGCTGTTGAGAAAAATGTGAATCCATGTGACAGATTCTTATCCTAGGCCACACTGGGAATCCTGGAATGTTAGGGAGGGAAAGCTCCTTAAATGCCAAATTGCCCAACCCCTTCATTTCACAGAAGGGCAATCTGAGGCTTAGAGAGGTCAAGTGACTTAGCCGAGGTCACACGGTTGAATAGGAGCAGATGCAGCACTCTACCCCTAGAGTTTCTGACTTCTGTTTTGGGGCTCTTACTAGTCACATCACTCTGCCTCTCACTTTTTAGTACCTGAGCATAAATATAATACTACAGGATGAGTATCAATAATATAAAAATCCAAAATGTTTCAAAATCCAAAACTTTTTGAGTGCTGACATCATGTTCAAAACAAATGCTCTTTGGAACATTTCAGATTTTGGATGTTCTGATTTGGGATGCTCAACCAGTACGTAAATATTCCAAACTCTGAAAAAATCCAAAAT